CTCCCTCCCCTCACCCCCATTCCTTCTCCCCCACCTCCAACCTACCCCCCACCCCATCCACCCACCACTCCCCAGGCAGGGTAGGGCCCCCAACCGGGGCTCCACCAAGTCCACCAAATCTTTCTGTGCTGGGCCTAGGGCCCTCCCCATGTGTTCAGAGACAGAGCGAATCCCTTCAAGTGGGATGGGCTCTCGAAGTCCCCCCCACCCACCAGGGCAAAATGCCAGTCCACCTCCGGAGGCTCCCGAAATTTTTTGAGTACTTATCCTGCTGCATGGTCAGATATGTTTGAAAAGAAGACTGATCACACTAATTCCATTCATGAATATGATTCCCTTAAAAATAAAGTGACCTTAAATCCCACTCCCTGGATGTAATTTACCTTCCCTTCCATTTTTTCATACATTTCAAAGAACATAGATGACATTCCTTCTTAGGAAAAATCACCACAAAGTATATTGTACTGCATTGATATTATATTTGAAGATAGGGAATGTGAACATGTTTCAAGTAATTATGTCTTTGAATTATTTCAAAAAAATACCTTGATTAAAGTAAATATATTCTTATATTCCCCAAAAGACAAGTGCATATCATGCACAAAATACCACAACTGGTGCTTTATATGATCTATCAAAAGCAACATCTTCAGAGATGCAAACAAAAGAAAGTTAGTAAGCTATAACATTTAGAGAGGAAAACAAGAACTTTGATATTGATGCCACTCTCTTCCAAGATGCTGATGACTGTGAGAGTACCAGACTTCCTAATAATGGAAGTCAGAATTTTTCTTCTATTTTTTCTAATAAAACATATTTTGGAGAAAATACAACAAATGTTTTTGGTGGCAGTGCAATTCCCTCTGAAAACTCTGACTTAGGAAATAATCACCACTCAGTTTTCTTTTCAGACTCCAGAATCACAATGGATACTTCTAATCATGCTACCAAAAATAGTCATAGCTTTCTTAGGAAATACAAAGATCCTATTGTTTACAAGTTATTCCCATGGGAGTAAATCCTACCACCTCCAATATAACTGCTTTTACTGAAGATGGAACAAATTTATTATGATATATGATTCAAGGCTTAGTGTTTCTCCTTTAGTTCTGCTTTTCACTGATTTCTATAAAGGTGTAGAATTTTTAATCAATACAGGTATTGATTCCTTTTCTCTGAAAGGTATCTTCTATTAAACCCAAACATCAACTCTTTAATTTAGGACAAAGGTAACATTGACCAGTCTGTCTTCTATTATCAGAAATGTCATATCTCTAAGGATTTTATGTATACACTATTGATTGCTTGAAACTCCCATTCTAATGCTCATGTACTACTGAAGGAGATGTACTCTTCATAGTCAAAAAGTTAAAAACCTATGCCACTCCCATGCAGACACCCCAGCTATTGGTTTGCAGTTCCTGAGTTTCCAGGAGCTAGGTTCATCTGCCTCTGTGGATTTCCCCCTCGCAATATTGATTCCCCCTTACTTGTAAAATCCCTCCTCCCTCTCTTCAACTGGATTCCCTGAGCTCAGTCTGGTGTTTGGCCGTGGATCACTTTGTGTAGCTTGGTCTTCCTGAAGGAGCCCCTGGCAGTAGGACCAGGATCTATCCCTGATTCATGATCTGGCTTTCTGAACCCTATTCCCTATGGTGGGATACTTTACTCAGCCTTGATTTGGGGTGGAGAGGGGGGCTTGTTCCTACTTCAACTTAATGTGGCAGACTTTGTTGATTCCAAGTGGGAGGCCTTACCTGAAGGAGTGGATATCGGGGTGGGCTAGGAGGCAGAAGGGAAGGAAGGGAAACTGTGGTTGATATGTAAAATAAATAAAATAATAAAATAAAATAAAAGCCTACATCACTCAACAATGCTAAAACCAGTAGCTTCAGAGCCTATTTTCAGATCAGATTTACTTAATTGGTGTAATTGTCTCAACAAAGAAAAAGTACTATATATCATATAATATTAAATGGATTTCTTTTTTGGTCTACACTGTTTCCCATGCTGATGCCACTGGCTCTTCCAACAATACTGCTAGTATTAAACTTAATATATCCTCCACTGTTGACATCAGGAAGAACATGTTTGGTACTGATCATCTAGCAATCATAAGTCAAAACCAAAGAAAAACTACATCATGTTTTCTATTATTTTTAACCTAATGAACATATGAACAAAATTTCTATTAAGATGTAAGACATGACTAAAGCTTCCACAATGGAAGACACAACTACTGAATGTGAAGTATGTTGCTTTTTAGATGCAAATGTAATAGTGATGGCCCAGTTATCTAAATGGAAACAAAACCTCTATAAAATGTTGGCTTCAGCCCATATCTTGAGAATAAAAATATTATTTCCGATAAGCCAATCAGTAAAGACCCTATCCATGCCTTGAATGCTGCTATTAAAGCTTTCACAGTACTCAAGGGTCTCTCCCAACTAGATCTGTTCCTCATGAAACCAACCCCATGAGAATATTCATACCTCCTAATAAAGAACTTTCATCTTACGCAAGAGACAATAGAAGAAGATTCTCAGAAGAAATTTAATATAGCCAATCTTGAAAGAGAAAATACTGAATTTCAAGTGTCAAGAAGTAAGAATACTATCGGCAAACTTATTGTGGAAAAAAAGAAAATCTATTGACTAGAGTGTAGAGGAAGACACATATTAAGATAGTATATTCATCAATTACGCATAAAGACAATTAAAAATGTCTACACTGCTGAAAATGGCATTTTTCTTGTGAGCAATGAAACAGTGATTCTTGAGAACTGCACATCCTAAAACATGTGCCCAACGTTCCAACCACTATGTAGAAAGAAACAGAAAGGATAGCAGACAATTCCACAAGGAGGGCTCTCCTAATGTCTCTGATGATGAGAATTGTTTTCTCAGTGAAAAAGACATTGAACATGCATTTGGTGATCCTATATGAAACATAACTGATTCAGTTAAAATTAGTAATTCACCTGGCTGTAGTGCCACACACCATTAATCCTATCATTTGGAAGCAGAGGCAGGTGTACTTCTGTGAGTTCCATATGAGTCTGGTCTACTAGTATGTTTCAGAACAGCTAGGACTACATAGTGAGGGCCTGTCTTGAAGGGAAAAAATAGCAACTCATTTTTTGTTGTTAAATCAAAACTGTGAAGATATATAAACTCTGTCCAAAAAGGAATGCTGGTGTCTAGTTGAGATACTTCTTGTCTCCTAGTTGATTCTTTGAAAATTGCACATGCCATATCTCCAGATAGCTCTCAAGATACTTTCTTCACAGATAAAGTCTCAACAATGGACATCATTGTGATGTCAGCTTTCCAAGGCTTCTAAGATGATATCCCAGAAAATCATAAATGTGCCTTCCTGCAAACTAAAATTATTCCCATTTTTGCTAACAGATTCCATTTTTCACATAAGAATTTTTTAATCATAAACCCAAAGAAGTTACTACTTAGAAGGATGCATAAGCACTTGGCCAAATACCTCAAAATTCACCCAAGTCAAAGATACACATGAACCAGGCATGCTTTGTTAACACTGCCAAAATAAGACTTGACAGTAGTTGTAACCTGAAATCCTTGCTAAGAAAAGATGAAGTATACCGAATAGTAGGATTGAAACTCCAACTATGAGGAGCTTGCTATGCATATTATATAAAATGTAAATACAGTAATTAAGTCTGTTCTTAAATCAGGTAATATCTGTGATACCAATTCCATAAAGGAATATAGTTATTCATACTGAAGGAGAGAGTCTGTTTTAGGAGCTTTAAAATTCACCACATACTTTGTGAACTTTAATGGATTATATACAAAATAAAGTATTTCTTTCAAAAATGAATGGCTAAGAAAGCAGAAATAATGAGAAAATACTTGCCTTTAGAGAAATGAGTGCAACAATCAATGTGACTGTATCTCACAGCAACACTAGTTATAAAAGGGTTGATGTAACCACAAAAACAATTTTGAAAGTTAAATGCTATTTTTGAATTTAGCATCAATGAAGATGGAATTATCTCTTCATCTGGCATAGCTTGCTGGACATTACATATTCATGAATGACTATTTTCTTCATGATACCAATTCTGTTCAACACACAAATATCCTATCATATATGATAGCTAATTTAGAGAATGAATTTATTCTGTGTATTTCTTTTATTAATTGATGAATCCTATTTAAAAACAACCTGGACTTATCCCTATCTTACAACTTCCTTATCTGTGACACTGGGGACATTCCCTATATCAACAAAGACACTGGGGTATGGTATGATGATGTGAGCCTACATTATTCACATTAATGAAGAAAATATGAAAAGCCTTACCAATCTACAAATTTATTATTATTATATTAATCATTCCTACATAAAAATGAAATGTCTCTCTCAGAAGAAAAAAAGCTGACTGAAGTCTTGCTACATAATTATCTTCTCTATTTTTAATTCACTACCAAAAGTGCTTTCAAATTTTAAATTTTGGACATTAAGCACCATGAATCTCAGAGAAGAATGTGGCTCTGCCTCCCAAAGTACACTGCCACTTACTTGTAAAATGGTTGATCTCCAAAAGATGCTGATAGACCAGTCCTCCAGAGTTTCTATTACTAACACTAAAGCACAAAGTACCTAGCAAGCTTGAGTGTATCTGTGTCAAAGGACACCAGTGCCACATCAGAAGGCATATACCTGTAAGCACAAATATAAATCCTAGGTTCTCTAAAAATAAAGTACTTAGTGTGGATTTTTATTTTATAATCAAAACTCTGTCATCTTTTCCTCTAATATTAATAGTCATTCTAGTAAATATCTAATCACAGCCAAGAAACAGCCTCCTAGGTGAGCCTTTGTCATAACCTGGGTGGTTGATGTAACAATCCCCATGATGACTAGTGCTTCAGTCACTATACTGATCACTGTTCACCTGCCCAGGGATGCCACTAAGCTCAGAGCAAAGACCTGTGAGAGTGTGCTCAGTGCTCCTGTGCCCCATGGCTGAAGATGGATCACCCAAAATTTATGCTCATCCACCAAGAGAAACCAGTAAAACACCAACAGAAGCAGCCATTTTCTTCGGGGCTGACAACACCATTCCTAAATCAGAAACAACAATTACCTCTGAAGGAGACCACATTACTTCAGTAAATGACTGCACACCAGATGGTGATTTTTCTACTACAGCCAACAAGCTCACACCTACAAAGGAAAAAGTCAAGTTAGAAGATGATATTGAGGCCACTCTGAAGTCAACAACTCCTCAAGAGAAAGAAATTACTGCTCCAACTGAAACTACAAACTCAAAAGTGGAGTCGATTACTGAAAATTTCATTCCAGTGAAAATGGTAAACATCTCAACCCCAGTTGCTACTGTTTCTTTAATAGATTTTTCTAGTAACATGGCAAAAGAAGATATCCTCTTAACCACCACTGACACAGAAGACGAGCTCTCTGGCACCTTGCAGGACAACCCTGCCAATTTGAGGGACACTTCTGCACTTCCAGATGAAAAAACAAAAACTGAGACTAGTTCCTCAACCACTTGCAACAATCCTGATGATGGAGCTGTTCAGGTCACTGACTCCTTAAGTCCTGAGGCTGAGATACCTCCCTCTACTGAAAAAGAGGTTACCACCACTCCAGACATAACCAAAGTTACAGAAGAGAATATAACTGAAATTGACCTGATTGTTTCAGAGGATAGCCCCAAAGCTGTGACTAAATTAACTGACTCAGATGAGGAAAAATTTATCACTGTTTTTGAACTCACTAACTCTGCTGAAAAAGCCAAAGATAACCCAGAAGATACTTTTACTGATGAGGAATCGACTGATGGAGCTAATGATTGGATGGATAAAGAGACTCTGAATGAAGTAGAGACCCATTCTGTGTTGCTTACTGCTGTTGAATCCAGGTATGACTTCATTGTCCCTGCCTCAGAAGCTACAGACCTCATGGAGGAACCAACCACTGACACACCAGAAGATCTGTGTGAAAATGATATAACAGAATCTGTAACTAAGGTCCCAGAGGAGTTTCCTGAAGTGACCTCTACACACAAGGAGGACTCTTCTACCCCTAACACGGGTATCTTCAAATTGCTGAAAGAAGATCCTGATGAACTAATGATGTAGAAGCAAAGACATAAGGGGGGGCCATGTAGTACACAACCAATTAAAAGGTAGTCTTAATGTCTAAGAAGTTACTCAACAAGAAAAATCTCGAAAAGAAAAAAGAAAACATAATATGGGCATTTAAGGCAAGTATTAGAAATTACAGCTGTTTATGGGTAGAGGTCATGTAGCAGAAGATATTTAAGGACAATTTTAAGACCAACAACCTCAGTACTTTCCAGGGTATCATGGCTTGTTATATAACAACTTACCTTAATGCAAAATATTCCATACTAGATTTTAAAGCTTTGAAGAGAGCAAGAGGTGAAGGAACCCAACCCATTTCTTGCTACATTTAATGCTATGTCATTTCAGCTAATTCTGATTGCTATAATTTAATAAAATCAAGGTTATAAAGAGAATCAAGTAACATGTAAAAATTACTGAAGCATTAAAAAGTTTTCTGAAACTTGTATTCTAAAATTGTCCTTTTAATATTACAAATTTGATTCTCTTCTATTAGAATATATATTTGAAGCCAGGCGTTGGTGGCACACGCCTTTAATCCCAGCACTCGGGAGATAGAGGCAGGCAGATCTCTGTGAGTTCAAGGCCAGTCTGGTCACCAGAGGGAGTTCCAGGATAGGCTCCAAAGCTACACAGAGAAACCCTGTCTCGAAAAAAAACAAAAAAAGAATATATATTTGAAACCCTCACCAGTGTAAGAATTGAAGCTTCCTTGTAATTGCTTAATACCCATGCATAGCATAAGAAATCATACTTCTTGACTCATATTTGTTGCTAATTAAAACAAAGTATTAGTTTTACATATGTGTTCATTTTAAAAATAATGTATAAACATGAATTGATTTAGTATTTTTCCTGTTAAGATTTATAACCTGAAATTTGTCGGGTTTTTTTTTTCAGATCCTAAGCATTGAATATTGTACTCTCCTTAGGCAGTTGGTTAGCAATTCAAGGATGAAAATCTTCATCTTTTTTTCTGATACAGACTTTTCAAATGGGTCTGCTGTCACTGTGATGATTCTCCTCAATAAATCATTCTGGAAGCAACTGGTTTACTGTGTGTGATGTGTTTGATATTTTTGTACAGAATCTTAAGAGTCACACAGGAAATATTAAAAGTCTTGCTTAAAAACAGAAATAATATTATTCTATACAGATCCATAATTTCCATTTTTTAAAACTGAAGAAATTAAAGCACACCAAAAGCATTGAGTAAATAGCAAATATTATATATGAAAGGAGGTTTAAATAGACTCTGGATGAGGATAAACATGATACCATGTTTAAACCCAGAAACACATTATTATACAAACATTTCATACATCAGAGGAGTACTTCTGATCATGGATATCATGGTTGATCTTCCAATCAATCAAGTACTAGGGAAAAAATAAATTAGAATACTATTTAAAATATACTCTAAAACTTAAAAAACTTCATTTCCCCAAATAAGGATGATAAATCAAATTAAGAATATAACAAAAGACAAAAGAGTAACATATATGACACAGGGAATAGTCAAAATTATATACAAAATATGACTAATATAATTGAAACCCAAATAACTGGAAGAAAATTGCATTATACTTGGCAATGAAAAGACTATTACCTTTGTTGCATAAGTATTTCCAAAAAGAAATGCCCAGAAAGTCTCACCAATATGACTGCCAAAGCATGAACTGAACAAGAACAACAGTAAGAACTACCAAAGTGAACAGAAAACATTCACCCACCATATGGCCTCAACCCTACACAAAGGACTACAGGCAAATAGAAAATACTGAGACTAGGAGAAATAATCTTCCCCATGGAAGAGCACACTAATTTATTTTCTAATACCAAATGATCATCCCTGCAAACATATATACAAGTAGCATTATAAAGACTACACAGGTTTTATTTGGAATGTATATGTATGCACATAATACATGTAGGCTTGTAATAATAATTAAGAGAAAAAAAGGCCTTGAATTTTAGAGAAAGGAAAAGTATATGGGAGGCCTCCTTCATTTAAAGTTTTTGTCATTATCTTTTTATTTTGAAAACCATAGGAATCATTCTGCCCTCATTCCTACAACCTTTTCTTAACCCCAAGATCAAGTAAGTGACATTTTATACTGTAATTTGATTACATCACACACATTTCTGTGCCCAAGTAATCTCTCTAGAGGAAAAAGCACACTAGGACACACACAGAGATAGAGACAGAAGCAGAAGCACAGACAGACAGACAGACAGACAGACAGACAGACAGACAGACAGACAGACAGACAGACAGACAAATGAAGAGAGCTATTGCTGGAGAATTGAGTCTGAAGTCCATGGGGTCTGCCAACAGGTAAAAAACTCTGACAGAGTTCTGTGTTATGGTCATCTAGAAACAACCTTTATCCTTAGACCCACCCACTTTATGGAGCTTATCCTAGTTAAACCCATTGTAAATGACAATCATATCATTTCTTTAAAGACATTGACAGTAGGCTAGTACTTAGCAAAACAGACAACTTGACATATAGAATGAACCCCAGTGTATATAAATACAGTTAAAATGTCATATATAGCTACTGGTTCATAGACCCTTAGCTAATTTCACGGGAAGTAATTCATTGACTACCTGACAGAGAAACTACAGTTTATTCACTACAAAATCAATAATTCCCTCAACAGAAGTTAAACGTACTTAAAATATCTTCGTGCAAGAGAAAGAACTGTGGACACCAGCAATAGGTTCAAAAGCTGCATCCTGAAACTATCTAGTCACTTACTTTCCCAAGTCTCAGTCACTTCATGTGCAAAATATCTATACAAATCTCTACAGATCATGGATCTTCTCTCAGTTTAGCACTAACTTGTTCTCATCCTAGTGGTCTGTGCTTTAAGAAGTGTTTGGAAGCTATGCATAAATCGAAAAGCCCAGCAGTCAAGGAGACTGTCTAGAGGCCTCCAATTCACCTTTCAGATAAACAGTATGGTAGGCCTTCTCTATGCTCTAATTCTTTACAGGGTGAACTGATGCCAAGTGGATATGCCCTTCTTGAACAAAGGCATTACAAATCTGATTATCCACCAGTAGACCTTCCAGGAAAGTGTTTCCACTGATGTTTGACATTGCCGTGAAATCAGAGTTTACTGACATCAGAGCAAATGTCACACTATCAAAGGCTCACGTTTTGTGTTATTCAATACTTAGTACATGTTTCTGAGCAAGATATAAAAATCTATTACAAGGGATCATTATGAATCAAATAGTGAAGAGGGTGTTGAGATGACTGCTATCATTTTTTAATTTTCTGTCAAGGGAGGAAGCCAATGCCCTGGAATGCCAATAGTATTGAAGTTGCGATAATTTTATAACCATTTAAAATTCTCAAAAACTGTTTTACCTTGAAAAGCTAAAGATGCACACAAAAGAGGCTACCACTATCAATTATTCCCTGATGCATCACAGTCCACGTTAGCACACTATCTTGTACATGCCAGAGTTAATTATCAAAATACTCATTAGGTCTAGGATCTGTAGGGAAGTTGTACTAGTTAAATGTTAAGGAAATATCTCGAGTGAAAGAGAGAGATTGACCAATGTATGGAGTTTTAATTACTATCAACAACCCTCAGCTTTTCTGATGCACACACATAATAATGAAGTTCACTGGAAAACAACAAATAAAAGACAAATGTCAACTTTTGGAGACTGAACCACTCCCCTGTGTTGTGGAAACTAGTTTGGATGATCCCAGAAGAAATGGTAAAACAATTGTAATAATATTTTGCATAACAACATAGAAGGAACAAAAGAGGAAATGAATCCTTCTTAAGGCAAGCATCTCCTGTTCTCTTTCTGAAACCTCCAGACTGCAGAGGTTGAGGGAGCTGACCCAGCGGGAAAATCAGGAAACGGAGCTACTTGGTATGTGGTCTTGGGTCATTGTTTCAAATTTCAGAGGCTTCATAGTCAGCCTTCTTTAGATTTTGCTTGTATTTAGTTTATAAGTAGTAAAAATACTGTAAAATCTCAAGCCCCTCTTTCCATAAAGTCTTAAGGTCAGCAATTGAATAATTAAAAATGGGGAGGCATGCTTCAAGAAGTTGTCACCTATAAATTGTATTCTCTTTCATTGAATAGCAATAGTTTTGGTAGAGATGAGCTCTGCTTGCTATCTGGAATACCAAACAAAACTACCTCAGTAGAAACAAAGTTTGAGTGACAGGAAGCCAGCATTAGCATGTTCCTCACATTCCCTCCTTGCTTAGTAAAGTAACCACTTTCAAATAATCCTCTAGTAACTACAAAATCATAGCTCCAAAGATTAATTCTATATGTGAATTGGAGACAATAAAACAAGTACTTCTCTGTCTTCATACCCCATGCTATTTTTTAAATACACAATTCTTATATTTTGCTCATTTCTCCTAGACTTGATATTTTTCTTACAGCTTGATAAATTCTTTTTATATCATAAATGTTTATAGGCTGTAAGTATTCTAACTAGGCATAAATTATTTTTCTTTGGTTAATAGTAAGCAGAGAATAAATCTACTAGTCTCATTATCACCAAAGATATATCTTTTTTGTCTTGTCCTAGGGGACTCTCCAACAAGATGAAGGCGCTGATTCTATGTGTTGTCATCTTGACCTTAAATGCTTGCTTATCAGTAAGTATAGAATACATGTTTTTCTGCTCCTTGTCATGAGGTACAAGCGCAACTTGTTTAATTGAGAGCTGTTTAATTTCTGCCTTAGCACTTCATTTAAGCTTCTCCATGGGTTTTCTGTCAACCTGCAAATGCGAATGTAATGGTTTACCCTTTGTCCCAGATTTTAATGACCTTTTGAATTCTAACAGTGTGTAAACATAACACTATGGTGTTTTCAGTTTTAAATTTTAAATAGAGTAGAAAGACAGATTCTTCTTCTTCAGTAGCACACCTGCATAAAAGTTACAGTAGGTTCCTCAAAAGGAGAAATGTGTGAAACAGAAAAATGATTAAAGGGA